AAATGGTACGATTGTGATACTACAAATAAATATAGGAAAAATTGTTAAAATCAGCAGACGTTGCCATAAAATCGAATGTCGATTTTCGCGCGTTCCGTAAACCTAGTGTTAAAGACGCACATTCGAGTGGACTCATGGAAAAAGAATTCGTGAAATGGTTGAAGTAGACGATTCTTGTGGAGCGATGAAATTCGATGTACTAACGAGAGAGAATGTCGAATTTTGTATGCGATCTGCTTGGAAACGAGTTTGCTTGAAAAGTAAACATTCCGAAATATCTAGCTTCACGGTTGTACATTGCGTTGTGGAAATGTTAGTCGCAATTAATCGAATCTACACGGGTTTCTATAGAGGCCGATCCCTCTGTTCGGGTAGTTTGATGCCAGCGTTCGTTTCGATAACCGCGATAGAATCGAAATCGAGGGAACCGCCGGCCGGTTTTAATCGTCGCGAGTGTGGCCCGGGGAATCAAAAAGAAATACCATCGGAGCAATCAGTCGGCGAATCGACGTCCGTGAAATTGTTGCTCCGATGCGGCCGGCCCGGCCAGTTTCGCCAATAAGAACACGAGCCCCGTGTAACCGAGACGATATTGCATTTCGCGCGCGGCACGGGATTGCTCGATGAGCCGGACATATCGAGAAATATTGGCTTCCGGCGCGGGCAGACGTTTAAAAGACTCTTTATTCGCGGCTCCGTTATCCACTTATCCTGCTGTTTATTTCATGGTTTATTTCATCGTTTATTTCACGGTTTATTTCGCCGGTTATTTCATGGCGCACGGCCGCGACTCGAGGCCGATTGGACTGTTTATGGAACGCCTTTCTCGGAATTCAATCGTTGGGAAACAATGTTCGAAAGTCCCGCGGAATATGGAATTTCGAAGATGACTGCCTCGAAGATGGAAGATCTGCGGTGACTTCTTTAGCTGAATCAATGATACTTTAATTGTTCGAGAATTCCGGAGAAACTAGATATGATAATCATAGATTCGATAGAATAATTTCCAAACGTTTTAAGCTTTCTTCGAAAATTCCAAAAATTCAACTGTTCGAAACGGTGTTCGATGATACCGCCGCGGTGACTTTAGCAGAATCAACGATATTTCCATTGTTCGAGAAGAATTCCGGAGAAACTAGACATAATCATCCTCGATTCGATAGAACGACTTCCAAACGTTTTAATCTTTCTTCGAAAATTCCAAAAGTTCAACTGTTCGAAACGGTGTTCAATGATACGGTGTTCAAGAAGAGTTCTCAGACTAGAATAAGACAACGCGCAAAGGATTCTCTTCTCGAACCTGTTGCGTAAACAGAGGAGGAAACACGAAACTGGAAGATTAGCGCGGTAGATTTTCGGTCGCGAGTGAAACGGGAGAGATGCGGGAACAGAGGTTTAACTAACCAAGTAGAACACGGTGAATATGGTCAGGCGCGGAAAGTGGCCTCAAGGTAAAGACGTAAGCAGCGCGAGATCGTGTTTGCTCCGCGGCCCGAGTAGAATGGAAGGGCGCTTGAACGGACGAGTAGAAGAGCCGCGCATGGTCCGACAAGTGTAATGAGTCTGTCCGGCGAGTAGAATAGGACCGTGTCCACTTTGTTAAGGCGAGCGAGATCGCATCTGTCCGGACAAACAGTATGTAATTACTCGGCGAAATGAAAGCGACCGGTGTATACAGGGTGACGAAAAAATATCGGTTATCGGTTCACCCAAGGGAAAAACGTTTCCATTGTTATTCTACTAAAGATATCGATATACGACTCATTAACCCTTTGAACTCTGTAGGCTCCAATATTACACCAGTTATAATATTAAATTATTAGATTTTCCATACATCCAAATTTTGTACTCAGAAGGAGAATAAAAGATTGACTTTATATTTTTCATTTTCACTAGAGATACTATAAAAATTAGTTGCAGTTGCTGATAGATTACAAAACTATCTGGAATGCTAAGGGTTAAACTCTCTAGAGTTTCATATTTATTTTTCAAACAATCTTGTATCGTCGGTATTTACAACAAGTCTAATTTCCTAGCAACAGAACAATTGTTTTACCAGAAAATCATTCATACTCGAATTCTGAAGGATAAACTATAGATTCAGTGATAAATTCGAAAGCTAATAATCAAACCTTTCGTCCGTTCTAGCAACAGAACAACTGTTCAACCAGAAAATCATTCGCACTCGAATTCCAAACAATGAACTATAGATTCAGCGATGAATTCGAAAGCTAATAATCAAACTTTTCGTTCATCGAGGAGAACGTATCGCGACGAACACTCCCGACGCACGCTCGTCACCTAAAAATACACAAGCGGCCGGTCGTTCATTCCACTTTCGTACCGCTAAATAATGAAGCCGGTCTGCCCGTCGAAAGAGCGATCAAATTACTTGCCGCGAAAAAGTTCCGACTCGTGACGCAACGTTTTAATTCGCCGCGTCACTTTCAACTTTTTTCCGCGTCTGGCGTCGTTCCGGAGTTATAGCCCTGCCCCAGTTCCACGGGAAGATCGCCGCCTCTATTTATAATATAGCCGAACGTTCCCGAAAGTTCATCGCTGCGGGTCGAACCGACTGCGCGCCGACGGACGCGCATAAATTTCCCGCGCACGTGTTCGTCCGACGCGTTCCGGCCGCACGCGACTGGAAACGTGCGCGATGCCTCGCTGTCAGCCTTTCCTCGACGTTCCTGCGACCTCTGAACCCTTTGCACTCCAGAGGCGTCTCTCGGTTGCCAATTGATTTCGTACGGCAACATCGTAAACTACGACATTTGCTATTAACGCTATTTCTACCGTGTCGAACGGCAATTTGAAATTTTATCTTAACCGGTTAACTGTGTTCGACGAGTATACGTCATCTTAAAACTCTTAATTGTGCTAACTTTTTCAACGATGGATTATTTATTCTTTGAGAAACATGTAATTCTTCGTTTCGCTTTAGTTTTTCGTTAGGATATATTTCAAGTGCATTTGGCCCGCATTTAACGAGTACACAGTTCGTTATTTGATTTTATTGCGCGCACAATGAGAGCGCAAGTATCGCTGATAATATATAACTTCTACAGTGAAGCTATAAATTTTGATATTTAATATTGAACTATGTATAATGCATCGATCTAAGAAATATCGACGTAAAACAGCTTTGTCCGTCAATTCGCGTGAATTTCTCGTCGAGTTGGTTTCACGAAATATCGTGTTCGTCTCGTCGGAAAATGTTGAAATATTTCTAGGGAAAAACGTCGGAGTGCAAAGGGTTGAGAACCAATTAGAATAGCGGACGAGATGATTTGTGAAATATTTGATTTCGGCAGGGAATCGAGAGCCCTATTTGTTCGAACGTTGCACGCCGGTCCGAGCGGCGGTGCTCGCGCGAATTTACAGTTCAATGTGATAGAAGCCGGACTTATATAAAGAGAAGTTCCGGCCGGAGCACACGAATCGGTAGAATGGAGAAAGTTATGGCCAGACAAACTGGCCGATGAAGGTGGTGGTATTGGACCGTGTGTATTCGAGCAAGTAGAATAGCACGGTATCTGGTCAGACGAGCACGAAACGCGAGCTGATAAGTGAAATGGGATGGTATCCGTCCGAGCGTAGCTTATTTCTACAAAATAAGTCAGCGTGCCTTCCAACTTGACCAACAATCGTCTCTCTCGCTCGGCGAACACTGTCCAATTATTAATTTATCTTTAACGATAACCTTATCGATAGAGTACAAACTCGGTCGAACTTACTAAATTACGGGTTTCGCGAGAACTTTATTCTTGAAGCAGATATTTTTCCAAATATTTTCTAAATGTTACTAGCGTTAGATATCGAAGGACAGTAGAAAATCTTCAGAGCTCGGATGAAGGGGTCTAATTAACTAGAACTACCGAGCATTTAATACGATTAATACGCAATTCCTATAAAAATTGTAGCAATAGATTATTTTCAGTTTCTTTGGACATTCGTTATAGTACTCGAATGAAGCTGTTTATTTTCAAAATCATTTCGAATATTCGATGCTTCGAAGATATCGATAATTGCTAAACAAGAAATTCTAGTGTTAAATTGATTCGAGCAGCGATCGTCCCGCAAATCCTCAACACTTGACGGCCGAAAATCCGCGATAATTGAAATTCCCGGCGGCATTGTCTTACATTCCCGTATCCCAAGTTCCAGTCTTTTGCAATCCAAATATCGCGGTTGTAGCCCCGTAAATCCCATCAACGGCGCACAATGACCATCAAATATAATCGCTGGACGAAACAACGAGCGTCTCGTAAGATATGTGCGGCCCCTGCATATGCATATCGCGTTCCCATTGGTTCCCATTCGGATGTAAATGTTTCGCGCGTCATCGTGGCCACAATGGCCCCGCGCTCTTCAACGTCCGCCGTTATATAATATTCCTATAAATAAACGTTTCACACCCTTTCAGCGCATACGCGGAGTCGGCTCGACTCGAACTTTTCACTTGCAAGAAAAGTATCGAAATTTTACTTGGAATCTTTACGTAATTTAGGCGATAGCCTAAAAATCACTATAACTACAACCTCCTCCATTATCCTCGATTGAACTGATTCAATTAATTCGGTTAGAAACTGTGCACCTCCGAGTGCAAAGGGTTAATCGAACGAATACGTGAATACAATCGACAGAATTCACATCGCACAGGAAACGCTGCGAATTCTATGCGATTACAAATATACATCGAAGAAACAAGTATACGAACGCGAAAATAACTGAACATAAATCGCAGGAAAGTTACGGGGAACTCTCGATATCCCGATATCCGCGCAGACGAAGACGCTCGCGCGAAAGTTTACTCCTTCCGGAGCGGAGGGCAATTAATGGAAGACGATCGAATAATTTATGGGGCCACGGTTCGCGCGAGTTGCGCGCAGTTTGACAGGCGCCTATAAACTCGCCCGGCGACGTCAACGTCCATCCCGACTTAGCCGTTGATATACCCGGGCCGCCCTTATTGTTCCCGATAGATTTATCGGACTTACCTGATATGAGCACCAACACTATCCACATGATCCCCACCAGGCTCTTCATCATGTCATTGTGTCACGTCCAACTCATTTCTTCTCGCCCTCGTGCGCCCCGGACCCTTCACGGTTCCAGCACTGTAACAGGGAAAACGGTTGCCCGGGTGGAGTAGACCGGCCGATGCGCCGCGAATAACGACTACTTACGATCGAACGCCGGCCGCCACGTTTTTCCCTGATAAATGGCCGTCCATCCATCGCGCGCCAATTAAACCACTCAGTGGCGGTTTCGAGTGGGATACAACCGGACCGGCCATTTATCCTCGTAAAAACGTGAACGGCTCACCTCTAACTTTCGCCGCTTCGTTGTTCCCGCGTGTTCGAGGAGCAGTTAACGGGATCTAGTTTAGGAATCCTATCGCGACAGGATTACGCGGCTGCTATTGATTAGTGTCTGCTCGCTCCAGCCGTATCGAGTTTCTCCGGACGAGGCGTCTTTCGGAACGTTCGCTGCCGTATTACAAGCGGAGCTTCGAAATTTCGGGTTATCGGCGCAGAGCGGTTGAACCGTCGTTTTCTGGGGAAAATTGTAATTGGAGAAGTGTGACTGATGGAGGCAATTTCGGACGAAAGATGTAAGGTACAGAGCTTAATATGGTGCTTGTATTTTTGTTTCAATTTGAACGTTATATAAATAAACGGAAGTGATTCGCAAATTTTACTTTTCAAGTGAAAATCAACGGAATTAGCGACGCATTGGTAATCTTCAATTTTCGTTACGCGAGTCGATTTTTCGGATTTTGTCCACTCTGTGCGACGATTTTCTTACTAAAACGGTTACGCGATGAATATAAAACAATTTTGTATCGCTCCTTTCGTAATTTCACAGAAATCACGAGTATAATTCTTCGTCGATCAGTTAGAAGTTGCAAAGGTACGATCTCGAAACTCGAGAGTGCAGCGAGAGGCGTGTTAAACGATTTCCTTCTGGAAAGAGAAGATGGGCAAGATATTCGGGACAGAGATCGCGTCGCTGTTGGCTGGTAAATTTCACGGAACGAGAGTCGACGGAGATAAACGGGCGACGGTTCGTCGAAGGAACAACGTCTCGATCGCTCGGCGAGATTAATTAAAAGTCCCGCCGCGACTGCCGATCGGCACGCGTTTACCCGGGGATCTCCGCTTCCGTGCTCGGCCAGCCGAGAAAATGAATCCGGCCGTAAAAGAAAATTGAATCCGTTATCTGGCCGGGCGAAAAGCGTTACCAGTGTCCCGCGCCGATGTTAATTAATCACTGATAACCGTCTATCGCGAGCGTACCGTAAGCCCGGGAATAGTCTCGGTGTGTTTCGCGTGGCACCGCGGCCATCCGGCTCCATAAATCATCGTTCGCGGCCTCACGTGTGACTCGCTCCGCTCCGGGGACAATTAGCTTCGATAAAAATGCGCACAGGCGCAGCTGAAGCGAGCTCGCCCGATTCCGATTACGATTATAATAGATCACCGTGGAGAAGTAACCTTCCAGGAAGAAACCGTGTCGTTTCGGTGATCACGAGAGGAACAATCGAACGCGATTGTTCCAGTCGAACAAAAAGCATTCCATGACGACGGAATAGATGTTCGATGGAACGTTAACGGGCAAAATAAAATTGGCGAGAGCGTAATGGACGATAAAAGATATTTTGATGGATAGTAATCGACCGAATGAAATTTGATATAACGTGGATGATAAAAAGACAGTTCAATTAGACGCGACTCGGAAATAAAATTTGATGGAGTGTAACCCACGATGCGAGGGAAGTTCGGCGGGGAGTAATTGGCGAAATAAAATTGGACACGATGTAGCTCGGATGGTAAAAAAAGGGTTCGATGAAACGTAACCGGTGAAAACGATGCTCGGCGGGACACGATTCGCGGAAAGGATGCGAGCCGACCGATAGAAAAAGGACGACGCGACGGAACGTAGCCGAAGGAGAGGTTCGACGGACGTTAACCGCGGGAAAAACTTCGGCAGGGGTGTAACTAATGGAAGGTGAGCCCGACGGAACGTAGCTGACCCGAAAACGGCCGCCGGCCGCGCGGAACGGCGAAAGAAAACGGGGTTTGATCGAACGTAACCGGCGGACAAACAGTTTAATAGAATATGAGCGACGAAAGAGGAGCGGGTTTGACGGGGCATAATTGATGGAGAAGAAACGGCGCGCGCTGGCCAGAAATTAAACGAAATTCGTTACCAGCCTTCCGAGCGGGAATTTACAGGACACTCGATTGTTCGTGTTTCACGGGAAAATTCGCTCGGATATCATAATTTCTGATCAAGATTGACAGTCCGAAATTCCGCGCGAATTTCGCTGGCACGCCGCGAGCACGCCGCGCAACGGTTTAATGGCATTTCGAGGCACAAACTTTGTTTATCCGTCAGTGTCCGTCAACCGTCAACCAGCGACTCGTAACCGTCGTCCGTTAAAGAGCTGTCCTTCAATTAAGAAAAATTGACCGGCCGGGAAAAAATATTTTCCGCGCGTTGATACGGTCGCGAGACCGAGTAGTTTACTTCCAACGAAACGGTTCGCGAGAATTTAAACAGTCTGCGTTTAAAAACAGCCTGTGTTTACGATTGTTGCTGATGCTTCACTTTCGCACGATGAACTCGGATGTATTATTTTGCTTATTCTGACTATAATTACATAAGCAGCTTGAATCTGTACTGAAACTTTGCTTCGCGTTTAATCGCAGGAATAAATTATCAGAGAACAGCGTGGAAAGGTTTAAAAATTCTCATTGAACAGCAACTGTAGCGAAAGCGAGCGCCGACCGCATCGAGATCGGCGGAGCCGCCATTTTGTCGGGCAGCGCGCGGCCGTATCTCGCTCGCGGCACGCGGGTAATTGTAAACTTCGCGCCGCCGCCGATTCAAGGGATTTTTCAGCGCAATTGACGCGCGTTCATCAATGTAGTAGCACGCGAATATACGGGCCAATTAAATAATAAAGCGATAAAGCGGAACGGGACGGTGTAAATATGACGGGACGGGGAGCGGGAAGCGTTAAACGGCGACGAATCGAATATATCGCCGGTCTGGGACATTTTAATCCGTTCGTACTCGATGGTTTTGAAATATTTAAGAGCGGGGACCGCTCGGACCGTTCCCCGCGTTGCAATTGCCGCGTTTTTTATCGCCCTAGTCGCGAGTTTAATCCATTTTTACGCGTACACCTCTATTTTTTTACGGTCGCCGCTCCTTCGTCGTACTCCCGGTCGCGCCGGCTTCGAATTTCAGCAACTTTCGCTGTTCAACTGATTTATATCGCATCACGCGCGGAATCTTCTCGGATTCCTCCGATTTCGTTGTTCCTCCCTTGAATTTACGCGTGTAATATTTCCTTTCCGTTCAGACGCGAACCCGTAAAACCGACGATTCCACGCTGCCAGACGACGCGGATCACTTTATGGAACGTTTCTCGGAAATGCGACGGGGAAGTTGTTACAAGGCTGTGGATTCCGCGCGTTCGTAAACACGTGGAACAATAAAGTAAACACTTTTGCTAAAACGCGGTGCAGCTTTTGTGCCGGGACGCGATAACGGGATGTTTAACGGCGGAGATCTCGCTGCGACTCGCTTGGGAAGAAACAAACGCTGCGCGATTATCGAACCGTTTGTCTGGTCGATAAGCTTCAACCTTCAAATGCGAAAACGATTGCGATAAGATTAATTCGAGGGATCTTTGGTGTCGAACGAAATATCCGAAAATCGGGACACGTATTCGCAGGGTCCGATGGAAATCGACGGGAACTTTCCCAAAGCAGTGTCCGCGATTCGACATTCAACATCCGTGAAAACGACGGGTCCCGTGTCGAGGAATATTAAAGAAAATTCGAGAGCACGGCTGGATAATTAGCCGGTTTCGAGGGCCGGCCGGCGAGAAGAGAGTTCGGTGGTTATCGATCCCCGGTCCGCGTTGCAGAAATAACTTCCGGCCAGGAATAAAAGCGGAGGAGGTTCTCGCGGGGTTGGATTACAGCCGACGCGGCGCGGCATGGCGTGGCGCGGCCAGAGATACGACTGAGCTTGAAAAGAATAAATTGTCCGGGAGAAAATTCGGAAGTATATACTTCTGAATCTATATACTTCCCGCATATAGACGCGCGGCAAAGTTCTTCGGCCGAAGTTCCGATCCCTTCTGCCTCCACCCTCCTCCCAGCCCTTTTTCTGTTCAATTTTCGCGCACAGATATCCAAGTTGGAGACGGGACACGTCACTCGAGATCGTCGAACCGGAATTCTTTAATTGCGTCCGCAAGAAAAGACTCGATCCCACTCCGCCCCCGAAGGGAACAACTTTACGCGTCCGTTTCGTTTCGTTTCGGTCGGCGATGTCTCCGAAACGGACAGTTATCGTGATCGAATGGAAAGAGTTTCGGAAAGGTTCGAGTTTATTACGGTTCGGAGTCGGTAATCCTTGGAGCGGGTATAACTCTTCGCCCCTATTGCATTATAAATGATTCATTCGATTAGACGATTGTTTCCGATCGCAGAAGTTCGTGTCGATAAGAATTCCAGGGAGTTCCTTAACCAGTTAACTGTGGAAAGTAGGTGGAAAAACCTTTCGTTCTGCGCGCAGTAAAAAAAATGGAGTACTCGTCGAACGCAGGACGAATGCACGTAGAGTATATTTTAATGAAAGATCAAAGCGAAACGAAGAATCACATGCCTATGTGAAAAAATAAAGAATTAATATCATGTCAAGCTTTATGACGTGTACACTCGTCACAGTTAACTGCTTCATTCTTCAAACTTATTAGAGAAAAATTAAGTTACATGGACGTTCTATTACACGAGAATTGTCAATATTTATTGCGTGTCGAGCGTGTAATCTTAGAAGCGTTAACAGCTCTGTCAAGCCTAAAACAGACTGAAAATGTTCGATCGCTCGTGGGATGAGATTCACGCAGAAAATCGAAAGAATGCGAACGCGAAGCGGAGAAAAAATGTTTCCTTAATCCGACCGCAAAGAAGAATGGCCGCTGAAGCTACCGGGTCGCAGAGGACGCAGCGTTGCTCGGTTCCAACCGCTCCATCGACCGAAAAGCGTTTCCCGTCCGCGCTATTAACTCGTTCGCGTAGTTAGCGGCTCACGG